TTTTCAGAAATAAATGGCATCAAAATCGGACTGAATAAAAAAATGAAAGTTTGTGTCTATTGTGAATTTTTGAGGCCAATTGAATTCTCTCTCTCTCTCTCTCTCTCTCTCTCTCTCTCTCTCTCTCTCTCTGATTTCATGCTTGAAATTTAGCTTTGCACCAAAGGAATTAAAGTATACATGAACACAACTGAAAATCAATTGCTCTAGAATGAACATTAGAAATGTCAAGTGATCTTCATTGGTATGGTGAACAAGTATTATGCAGCAGTGGTGTCTTGGGATTTGAAGATTTTTTTTTTATTTGGCTTTGGTTTGTGTCTTATGTGGTTAAAATAATATCTGGATTTCACAATTATTTAGGCCTCAAAATTATTTACTCATGAGCTACACGTATTTGTCAAGATTACGAATTTCACGCAGTCTGATACATGGGAGATAAATTTCATCAATTTTATTATTAAAAAAGTAATTGGGGGTTCTTTATTGATCTTGTAACGGCAATGCGTAGTAATGTATCTAAGATGAATACCAAAATGCAATCTTATGACAGTTTTCATGAAAAACATTTATCTGCACAAGTTCACAAAGCCTGTTAGAGTTTTCACGCTTTCATTTGATAGCGAGAACGGTTTCTGGTCACGTGATGACTAGAGTTCAATTCACAAAACAGTTACTTTTCAAAGACTGCAACAATGACTTTGTATTATATTCTTCACAACAGAAAGAAAAGTTTTGTATCGTTTTTCATTCAACAATGAGCATGTGCCTTTTTTTTTAAGTCACATCCTTGGTAATTGCCATATCTTAATTCGTACGAAAAATGCATTCTTAATCATTGTAAAGAATAAGTTTTCTTACTATTTGGATCCTACAAAATTAACACAGTCACAACTCAGATATATGCAGACAAGACATTAGTTTCAAGACAGAAAATATATTAAGATTCAAAAATCTGAGGTAAAAATTTATTTAAAAAAAAGCACACTATATCAACATGTTTCCCTTAGAATACGAGGGATTTATTTGACCAAGCATAAAGATCACAGGTTGCATATGCAGTACAATGCATGTACATGCATGTGCAGATACATGAAGCAGGTTGGTTCACATGCCTTTATTGCCTGAAACAAGCAGAAATATTAGCCCACCATCACCCTCCAGAAATCTCCAATTTATACTTATCTCTCAAATGCTTAGCAGTTATCTTGTGAAATTTGCATAAGGTAACTCTGGGTGTACTCAAATGATCTCCCTTTGAACGACGTAAGTACAACGCTCATTGGAATAAAGCTAATGTAGATGCAAAGACTGGGTGACGAGATGGCGAGAGTTCGTCTTGTAAAACACATAAAATACTGTTCAAAGACTACAAAATTTCCCTGATATTAAGCCCTTCAAAACAAGCACGATATTAAGCCCTTCAAAACAAGCTCGACTTCGTTAAATCTTACAAAGATTTAGTGTTAATGCATTTCATATTTTACAAATTCACGTAGTATATTGCCAGGAAAGGTAAACAAAATAAATTTCATAATACATTTTACGTTACACTTAGTCAGAAATGTTATTTTCAGAAATAAATGGCATCAAAATCGGACTGAATAAAAAAATGAAAGTTTGTGTCTATTGTGAATTTTTGAGGCCAATTGAATTCTCTTTCTCTCTCTCTCTCTCTGATTTCATGCTTGAAATTTAGCTTTGCACCAAAGGAATTAAAGTATACATGAACACAACTGAAAATCAATTGCTCTAGAATGAACATTAGAAATGTCAAGTGATCTTCATTGGTATGGTGAACAAGTATTATGCAGCAGTGGTGTCTTGGGATTTGAAGATTTTTTTTATTTGGCTTTGGTTTGTGTCTTATGTGGTTAAAATAATATCTGGATTTCACAATTATTTAGGCCTCAAAATTATTTACTCATGAGCTACACGTATTTGTCAAGATTACGAATTTCACGCAGTCTGATACATGGGAGATAAATTTCATCAATTTTATTATTAAAAAAGTAATTGGGGGTTCTTTATTGATCTTGTAACGGCAATGCGTAGTAATGTATCTAAGATGAATGCCAAAATGCAATCTTATGACAGTTTTCATGAAAAACATTTATCTGCACAAGTTCACAAAGCCTGTTAGAGTTTTCACGCTTTCATTTGATAGCGAGAACGGTTTCTGGTCACGTGATGACTAGAGTTCAATTCACAAAACAGTTACTTTTCAAAGACTGCAACAATGACTTTGTATTATATTCTTCACAACAGAAAGAAAAGTTTTGTATCGTTTTTCATTCAACAATGAGCATGTGCCTTTTTTTTTTAAGTCACATCCTTGTAATTGCCATATCTTAATTCGTACGAAAAATGCATTCTTAATCATTGTAAAGAATAATTTTTCTTTCTATTTGGATCCTACAAAATTAACACAGTCACAACTCAGATATATGCAGACAAGACATTAGTTTCAAGAACAGAAAATATATTAAGATTCAAAAATCTGAGGTAAAAATTTATTTTAAAAAAACACACTATATCAACATGTTTCCCTTAGAATAGAAGGGATTTATTTGACCAAGCATAAAGATCACAGGTTGCATATGCAGTACAATGCATGTACATGCATGTGCAGATACATGAAACAGGTTGGTTCACATGCCTTTATTGCCTGAAATAAGCAGAAATATTAGCCCACCACCACCCTCCAGAAATCTCCAATTTATACTTATCTCTCAAATGCTTAGCAGTTATCTTGTGAAATTTGCATAAGGTAACTCTGGGTGTACTCAAATGATCTCCCTTTGAACGACGTAAGTACAACGTTCATTGGAATAAAGCTAATGTAAATGCAAGGACTGGGTGACGAGATGGCGAGAGTTCGTCTTGAAAAACACACAAAGTACTGTTCAAAGACTACAAAATTTCCCTGATATTAAGCCCTTCAAAACAAGCACGATATTAAGCCCTTCAAAACAAGCTCGATTTCGTTAAATCTTACAAAGATTTAGTGTTAATGCATTTCAAATTTTACAAATTCACGTAGTATATTGCCAGGAAAGGTAAACAAAATAAATTTCATAATACACTTTACGTTACACTTAGTCGGAAATGTTATTTTCAGAAATAAATGGCATTAAAATCGACTAAATAATGAAAGTTTGTGTCTATTGTGAATTTTTGAGGCCAATTGAATTCTCTCTCTCTCTCTCTCTCTCTCTCTCTCTCTCTCTCTCTCAAGTATATTGAAAAACAATGCAACATGCCTGAGAAGTTTTTTTTCACATGCATTTTGATAATTAAAAAAATCCACTGGCAACTAGATCCATCTTTGGGGGTGGGGGGTGGGTGTGTTCACCATTGGTACTTTTAACGATTAATATGTTTTCTATTCTCTTTGAACGTTAATACGTATACATATGTATTAAACATGTATGCCTTTGAAATCCACATTTCATACTAAATACAATATCTGTAAATAATACAATATCCATAACTTGACGATGATTACAAATTTACTGTAAACACATGAAATGGATGGGATTCCCACTTTTTCTCCTACTCTGTGAAACTGTATTGTAACAATTGCATTATCCAATTTACAATCATAATTTACTTAGGTCATCTTCAAAAAATTGTCTGTTTTCCCTCTCCCGATCGACTAACCAAAAATGAACCGACTCAAAACTTTTTTTTATTTAACCTCCAGGTATAAAGATGGAATTATTAACAATTTTCAATTGCCAATGAGTACATTACTATTATAATTTCTTGAAGAAATAAACATTTCGAACGTTGAAATTCAGTTTTATTCATTTCAAATTTCCTTTTCCTGGATACAATTCAAGTTACATGAAGCTTTCAGTATGCTAAACATTTATACCAGCTTCCGGGGGCTTCGACCTAAAGGCAGTCCCCAACCCCCCTGCGTTTATTTGCATTATGTTTAAAAATGGTCTATTTAACACAAGATCAATGACATAGATATGTCATAGGCGCTCCTCTTGTAATTCTGTAATTGACGAATGATTAGTATACATGTATATATAGGTCTGTCCTCTATACTATAAAATCACGTTCATTTACATGTCTTATTATGTATAGTGAGGTACTTTTTTGTGTGGAACGGTTATTTTGAGTTTTATCCAAATTTTTCGAATGGTATACATGATAAGGAAGTGTAATAAGTATAAATTATATATATATATATATATATATATATATATATATATATATATATATATATATATATATATATATATATATATATATATATCCAACAAGCCCGGGGTCGATCATATATCGGGGGGGGGGGGGGTCCTGTCCACAAGTACCTGTGATATTTGGGGAAAGTTGGCAACAAAGATGGAGAAAAATGCCTAAATCGATTTTATAAAGGGCAATCGACTCAATTGATGTCAAAGAATATCTTATCTGCTCCTCCAGTTTTTTTTTTCAAAAGAATTGAGTTGTATTTCTTAAGTCATACTGGCCTACAATACTTATCATAAGGATCAGAATAAATGCTTTATTTTGCTGAAAAAAGGCGAATTCGTGCAAACCCTTTTTATAATAATTATACACGAAGAAAAAGAAACAACCTAATTTAAGGCAAAATATATTTATTAACAAGTTCAATTATCGGCGCCAAAAAGAAATTTTGGAAAGAGAGAACAACAGAGCTATAAGACATCTCAAAATGGATGCATCATTTACAATTTCACAAGTTTTGACAGGGAGTCCCTGTAAAACAGGGTGTTCCCTGAAAGGCCAAAAGGTTCGAAATAGTTGGAAGAAATTTTGCTCTGGTAACTCGGCAAAGCGATCTATCTCGCTTGCTTCGTTACCAGAAAAGGAAAGCCAAAGATGAATTTAGAATAGTCAAATTTTGTCAGCAATGCTAGCCTCGTCCGTTTGTGAGGCCAACATTCTGGAAAATTCCAAAGGTACATGTACGTCTAAAAGAGAACAATGTAAAATTAACAGCAAAAGAGAGCAGAGGGATAAAAGAGCTCGGGTGTCCCCTCCTTGGTTCCAGAAGATTTGAAATTTAGAAATAAAATGCTTTTGGTAAATTTTATGCCAGTCTTTTTTCAAAATTTATCACTGATGTTGATATATTTTTCAAGCCGCTCCATTTCCTTGTGGGCATTTTCAATTTTTTTCTGCACGATGGCCTCTTCCCTTCTCTGCTGGGCCCTTTCTTGATTTTCTGCCTGTGCCTTCTCTTGGTTTTCTGATTTGGAAAAAAAAAACCAGTTTAATAACAAAAACTAAGAATAAAACCTGTATTTAGAAATTATAGCTTAATGCTTTATTCGGGCTGTTCAATAATTTAATTTACCTCTCCATTTTTCAAAATTCTCTTTTTTGTCAGTGGTCAATCGACTAGGAGGTCTGGGTGGCAGCTTTAGTGCTGAATCCTCAGTGAGGAAAGTAAGATCAAAGGCCACTCCCCCCTTCCTCTCAGTCATATCCTCCGTGATCATTGTCCGACGTACATTTTCATAGGCCTCCATTTCTTCCTTCCCCATTACTCCTACTTTGTTGTGTTTGCCAAGACAACTCTGAAAGATACCCATGGTGTTTTTCGGTGTGTATAGTTGTAACCAACAGCGAAATCTTTGGGGATATATTATGACGTCATAACTATTATTACGCCATTGTTATTGTGACGTGATAGTGAAGGATCTACATTTCTTTTATTTAGGACGTTACGCGTGATGTTGGTGCCATTTTTCAATTTTACTAAATTGTTCCAGACCTATTAAACCCATCTTTAACTTCAAAACAATACTCGCAATATGGGTGATTTTGGTATGAATCAATAAGTTCTGAATAGAACCAGTCAGAAAATAATATTTAAGTAGATATTATGCAATATGTTTAGAATTTTACAACACAAATTAAATATATTTTAAGCGTATATAACGCGTTATGTTTTTAACCAACGATTTGTGCATTTTTCTTGGGTAGATTATTTAAAAATTAATCTACAGTTCTCATTTTTCTCACAACGCAAGAGAAATCCTGTAATATTGTTAACGATTTTGCATTCAGTGGTGGCAAGAAAAAGAAAGCAATGGTTTACACGGAAAAAGAATATGTAACGCAAATAATAAAACATGTACAAATAATAAAACATGTGCATATAATAAAAGTTATAAAACATGTGCATATGAATATAAACATCAGATTTACTCAATTACAAGAAAATTTAAATAGAAAAAAAAAATAAAGATTTATATCAAACTACATGCTTTGTAGCGAATAAATGAGTTACAAGTTCGACAAAAATGCACAGAGTCTAACATTGATGTGAAAAAATAAGATCAATTAGTCTTTCGAGCGGTTAAATTCTAATTATTTTTACTCGATTACAGAATAAATTATATGTTCATTACGTGCTAATTCAAAGAGTCAGAATGAAGGTCAGATTGATAAATTCACTCAATTAATTAATATTTTACGCAACATTTAGGGGGTTCTACATATTTGTCCAATGGACGGTTATGACGCGTTATTCGTTTAGTTTTAACGTAATGCACGAAAATGGGTTTAAGAGTGGTTTGAGTAATTAACAAACTTAATTTATTATACACAATTTAAAGCGTCCTTTTTGTTCATTTGTTTAATTACAAGTAATCTTTTTTTTTTTTTTGCTCATTTTTAAAGCACAGAGATCGCGATAGGACAATAATCATGCTAGAAGTGTGTTTAGAAGCTTTACGTTCATATTTCCGTAGCGCTATAAAAGCGTAACGTCAAGCGTCACCAACATCACGCGTAATGTCTTTCACATCAAACACCCCTATATTTCGGGCCCGAAATTTTTCTCTTGAATTTGCAGAGTAAAGATATATACACACACACAAAATGAATACCCCCTCCCCCCCCCCCCAAAAAAAAAACATGGACCCGGTAGGATGTCATGAAAAGGGTATGGATCCCCACCGCCTTCAAGAAAAACTAAGAAAAAGCACTAACACTCCCTCCCTTTCTAACGATCTTTTATGATTGGAAATACATGTAAAGTAAATTTTGACCAGATTTATTTGCTGAACCATTAACATCTCATTTCCTACTTCGAGTTATTTATAATTTATTTAATAATTTTTTTTTTTGGGGGGGGTGTCTTTCTTTTCAAAATTGAAGACAATATGAGTTCATCCGAAAATAAGAATTTAATGCTTATATTTACATTCTCCAATTTTCTCTCTTCATAATTGTTAATCTCGTAAATCTTTATTGTGAATTTAGCGCCTTTCAGAACTATTGTGATATAAGTAAGAGCCATTGTGACGTGGAAAGTTAAATACATGTAACGGATATGAATATTGCGAGGGGAAAAACGACAAATTAATTTCAAACGTACAATTGTTATATTCCTACATAAATAATGTCTTAAATATCTTAAACGATTGTGGACTTTCAAATATTTGGAACAGTCAAGCCTTCAATCCAAATTGGTTAAGAGCGAAAGTAAAACTAACTTTAATAGATCAATTTAAACAAAAATGGAATTCGGATGTTCAAAATTTATCAAAGACCCTAAATTATAGAATATACAAAGACGAACTAAAATTTGAAAAATATTTAGAAATTCTATCACGAAAAGAAGCCATAAATTTCTGCAAATTCCGTACTTGTAATCATTATTTGCCAATTGAAACTGGACGTTGGTTAAATGAACCAAGAGAGATTAGACTATGTAAGAAATGTCAATTAAATGAAATAGGAGATGAATTCCATTACATATTAAATTGTACGGCAATGACACGTGAAAGAAATAAATGTTTAACACAAAAACAATTACGATTCAAAAATACAATTACATTTAGAGAAATAATGAATTCAGATAAACAGTCATTTTTAAGAAAACTGTGTATATTTATTAAAAAAATTACTAAAACGTGCTCCCCAAACTAGTAAAGACCTAAACCTATAATTGTACTATTTGTCTATCCTCATACTCACGCATGCCATATATGTGTTTTTATTTTTCATCATTGTAGTTTACATTTATATCTCGCTATACAATTGTAAAATTGTGAAGAGATCAATAAATTCAGTTCAGTACAATACTTGAATAGGGTAATTGTTTTTAATTAAAGTGATCCGAAACAATATACATTCTGATGTTCCTAGAGTATTGAAAATGCATCTAGTTCCTACTGTGTATTCTACCGCGCAGTGAGAAAGTTTCGTGTGCATTGTACATTACCAAGAATTTCATAAAGAAAATTAATTACACTGAATGCAAATATATGTCTGTAAATGCAAAATTTGTGTATATGCATGGAAAAATCTTAAATCTTTTGACATATTTTCGGATATTAGATCTATATATTATTTTTGATGATTTTGGAACATACCACAGACAGAAATTCATAAGATTTTAATTTTGTTCCCTTGCACTTAGAAATCTAAATCTTTATATAATTTTATTTATTTATTGGGGGGGGGGGGGTGTGCATGCATTCTTTCTTAAATTTTGTAACTGGGGATGAACGGATTAATTCAATAATTGTTTTCGCCGATGGAGGTAAATTGAATGACATACTTTGATTTATCCTCCCTTATCAGCCAACATGAATTCTTTATAACCTTGAAAAAAGAATATCATAGAGCCGAGTATGTTCTAATTGATTCTCTCTCTCTCAACACGATTTCTATGGTTGGCATTCAGAAAAAAAAAATGATAAAGTAGTTAATTTCTTTTTTGTCTAGAAAAACGAAAAGAAGGGACAGGGTTTGGATACTTTAAAAATCAAAGAACAGGACGGGATATGAACACTTAATTAAACTTTAAAAGACTTATAATCCAGTACACTGAAATTTGGTGTTTTTCCTGTCCTTTACATGTACATGTAGTTTAAATTTCTTTTTTTTTAAATTAACGCATATCTTTTTTCCTAACAAATAAAATATTGATTGTTTTTCCATTTTTTAATTTTTTACTTTTAATGCATATATATATATATATATATATATATATATATATATATATATATATATATATATATATATATATATATATATATAATATCTATTTTATTGGAATGCAAGTAATTGTGAACTTCGTTAAAGTATAATTCACGGTTCTTTTATAAATTCATGTCCTGTGTCATTTTCATTAATGACACGTGAAAATCGAGCCACTACGACAGGAAATCATAAAGGACATAAATGATGGAAATAAATTGAAAAAAGTAAGTTTTGTGAGATTTTAGCCCTTAAAGCAAAACTTTAAATTGAGTTTTTTAAAAACGAATTTGAGTGATTATTGCGCCGTAAATAGGAAAATTGTTGAATAGCTGAATTTATTTACTACTTGGCGGTGTGTATCCGCGACAGAAATGATTCAGACAGGTACGAGCGCACCTGCTGATATTTAATTTCACGTCAACAACGATCAGCCATTTTATTAGCGAGGGAATTGGCATGGTCTGACATGTGCTACAAAGTTAGGTGTAAGAAATGTCAGCGATTTACCTGGACAGGTAAATTTTTCGTAAATTCATTCAGATCAGAAAATTTTACACACATTTTGTGTCTTAATTACCACGTGTTTGCTGATCATATGTGCAATTCATTCGTTTAAATGAACTATTAATGGCATTGTTTTAAAACATGACGAATCTTCCGATGCTTTACCTTTTTGACTTGCCATGTCCGTTATTCATTCAAGCACACCTTTATGAGACGAAAACACGGAGCGGATCGAATGAAATGTTTTTATTTAAATTGATAGGGTGTGGACGGCATATAGAGCTTGTTTTGGAGGATATTCCAGTGGAGGAGAGGTGTCAATGTAAAAAATCAGGGAAATGTACGATATTGTAAGTATCACATGACATTCTCTCTCTCTCTCCGCGAATCAAAGGTCAAACCACAGGGACTTGTGTTGCTCCCGAAGTGTTAAAAAATATTTATTGAAAAAAAAAAGGCCGATACAGTTGCAATGTATATGATTTTTTAAAATATCTTTTTATTTACACCTCTATGGTCAAACACATTTTTCAGAGTAACTGTCATGATATTTGTTAAATCATACTTACGCATACTTAAATTATTTTCTTCAAGATTAAACGTTTAAATTGATGCATTCAATTTTTAATTTTACCTTTAACAGATAGTTTCATCCTATATGGATGTACAATTACGTCAAGAGGAAACAGAAGAATCTCAATAATTATGCAAGTTTTACTGGAGATCATCAGAAATGCAAGGAACACCCACATTTTATTGCATATTTTACAGTATGTGCCAAATTCTTCATAAATTATACATGTATTAACATAATATACATTTCTTTATTCAGTTTTAGCCCTTTTGAACAGTTGAAAGCATATTTGCATATTATTCAGTTTATTATTAGAAATATATATTTATTTTCCTGTGGTTGAAATATTTAGACAATATGTTAATGTATTTCTTTGTGTCCCAAAATGTAAACCTAAAAGCTAAAAGGTTTTTTTTCATCTCTTGCATTGGAAGAAATGTTCAGTCTTTTTGCCTTAAAAGAATTTTTATTATTTACTTTAAAATGGATAATGAAGGCAACTTTATCCAATACTATCTAGAGCTAAAGATCAAAATAATTTTTGAATTATTCATGTGACATTTTTTTTTTTATATATATATTTTTGATGCTTTACAGCTTTATTAGACATTTATTGTGGTAATGGAAAGACACCTACAATGTAGCCTACATTAAATCTTAAAACTTCTTTCTGCATATTGTAAAAATATTACATGGGTCTGGCCAAATAAATAGTACCAAGCAGGCATAAGGTTTTATTTTTTCCCAAGTGGCTAAATGCATTTATTTGTCTTCAGTTGTTGATATTGTAACTTGAAGGTAGAAAAGTTTAAAATTTAGAGCAAGTCAATATTGGTTTTACTGGGCATTCAATGTATTAAATACCCCCCACAGCATTGTCCAAAGTGTTATTTTTCAGCATTATTTATCAAATTTCACTTGGAGGTGATGTCCTACTTTAAGACCTGTATTCTTCTGAGGGTAAAATCTTGGTTGATGGCACTTTTAAAATTTTTTCGATTTACGACAGCCAGAGGCAAAAAATTCTTAATCAAATGACAGGACAGGTACAGGTATCTTCTATCAAAAAGTAACCGTATTTTCTCAAGGTCATTCAATTGTAGCGAATAGATAAAAAGATGTTGACTAAAGAATCACATTACTTGTTTAAAGACACTTTTAAAGAGAATTATACATCCATTAGAAATCAGATATAATGCACTGAAAACTACCTCCAAGGTAACGTATCGTTCTTCACATCAGAAGATAATGGCTCTGAGGAAATTTTAAAGAATGGGTTAAGTTACATTTCTTTCTCTATATTCTAAGATGTCAAACTGATACTTTTGGGTGTAAAGTATTTCAAATTTTATCGAAAAGTTACATGTACTATTAAGTCAACTAAAGATGGTAATGTCAAAACAAAAATAATGGTGTCTTCAGACTTTTTAAGAGCAGTCAAAATTCCTTTATAACTACATGTACATAGTTCTTAAAAGAATTTGTGAGATTGCAATAATTGTATATCTACTGTAAATGTATTAAATTTAGTGTGTATGATATTTAGCAAAAATTGTTTTTACAACAAGTTGGGGTAGATTTGATTTAGCACTTTCTGAACATGTTAAATATTCAGAGACACAATTGCTTGATTTAGCAGAAGATGCCTTCTGCAAAGGGTGCTAAATAAAATACACCACCAAATGTAATATGTTTACAGTATTTTCTAGAAAAATCATATGTTTGCAAGAGTTTTAATTCACTAGCAGACTGAGAAATTGCTATTTTTATATTTAATGTTCACTGAGAAGAAGCAAATAAAAGGTTGATATGGCACAAAGTAAATTACACCCTCCCTCTACTTAAAAAAAAAAAAAAACAAAAAAAAAAAAACAAAACACGTCATCTGTATTTTATGAACTGACTGTTGACAAAAAGTAAATTTGGCCTATATAATTATTAATTATTTAATGTCATTGCTTTTGAATTAGATTTTCATAATTTTCTTAGTGTGGGTTTTTTTTGTTTTTTTTTGTTTTTTTGTATTTAGGAGTGTAATGCTCTAGTAGAAAACTTTAAAGTCCTGAAATATAATGAATAAATTTGGTTAAATTTGCTCTATAGAAATCAAAATGATCTCTGCATACCCATCTTGTAAGACTGTTGTTTTCCATTTATTTCTCTCAATGTTTTCTGTTTTAAGTTATAAAAAATCTTTTTATTTGTTATACATGTATGTAAATGTGCATGGACATACTTGTATTTGCTTCAGATAGTTTTGTCAGGTGCATGGAGAAAATTTGTAAAATTATATAACCTAGCTTTATAAGAAATACTGATATAAAATTCTGTAATTTTTTGCTTATGATTATTCAGAAGAAATCTAAATCATAAATAAAATGCAAACAATTTCAGGGTGCCTTGCAGGGCAAAATTTGATAATTACCTTTTTACATGACAATTTTATAAAGGAATATTTTGTACTTTGCTTATAAGCATTATTTAGTACTTTACTTAACAATCTTTAATATCAAGACAAAGATCTATCTTTCATTCTGACATTACGAAATACTGGAATGATATTTTGACAACAGTGTTTATCCCAATAGAGTTATCTCTCTTATCAGAGGGTCAGTGAACCTTAAATGCTTACACTTTGGGTTTGTACTGTTATAGTAATGATACATGTAGTAAGATGTTAATTAATTTTTCATGATTACTGCAAAATTAAAGTATCCCTTATGTCAAAGGATTAATTAACTAAATTGACCAAATAAATTTTGTCCTTGAGAAAATCAATCTAATTAAAATTAGATCTTTGATCTTCTTTACTTGGTAACTTGAAAACAGTTATATACACATTAAAGCTTAAGATCAGATTGAATCAAAGCAAATTGTTCAAAAATATATTTAGATTTCCAGTTTATTTATGTTTCTTGAATTAGTTATTTTTAAATTATTATTTTGAGTCAACTTTGGAAATAAGAAAATTGTAAATTTATCTTAACAATTAATGTACAAAGGGTCATAATGCTCACACAAAAATCAACAACATTCTCTTCCTTTAGCTTTATTGCATAGTGCAGGTTTTGAAACCTTAAAAAAATATTCTCATTTTGTTTGTTACATATGTAATTGTTCTTGTTTTTTGGTAATTATTTATGTATATATTAACTCTGTTGTCTTTTTAAACTCATAGGCAAAACAGGGGCATTTTAGTGCAAATGTAGTTCATTGTTTTTAGGGTTCATGTGGGCTTTTAGTGCACTTTGTATTGATAATTAAGTCATTGCAAAACTGAATAGCTATTAAAAAATTGTGTTCAACAATAAATATAGTTTTTGTTACAATGCTAGCTGCATGGTTTAATTAAAGTTTCACTGAAACAAAAAATGTAAAATTCTTATAAAATGTAAAATATGGTTTAATTGGTTTTTTTGATTGATATGTATTATTATATATTGTTCAAAAAAGAATTACTGATTATATAGTTTTTATATTGAATATTTCAAAGGATTATGGACCTATTGTTTTGTTTTTTTTTTAATTTGGAATGAATCCACCACATTTGAGCATTTTAAAAAGCCAAGGGCTCTCTTATTTATGACATTTATAAATATATTCAAGCATATATATTTCATGTGAATTTTTATTTCTTTTCTGTCAAGACATTTTTCTTGAATATATTGTATTAATATATATAATGCATATTATTTGCAATGAGTGTATCTTAAGTCAAATGCATGCTTTATTTTTGAAAGATTCTGTATTTTTATTACTACAGTTTGGTGCTAAAGTATCATATAGCATTTGCTTGAATGCCGAGTCTTAAAAATTTCTATGCCTTAACAAGGACTTGCACAGTATAGTGTAGTGTTCCTGCCCTTCATTTCTTTACATTTGTACTTTGCATATTGTTTGCATGAATTTTGTCAATAAACTAGTCATATAATAGTGTCTAGTCGTTATTGTACATGTCCACGTTTTAAATAATGAAGTAGCAAAACAAAGAGAATATAGAGGCACATCCTCCCAATGTCAGGGGTCCTGAGTCGACTCATTTGGTAATGTAATTGCTTGAGAGATAAGAAAAACAGTTATCAAGATTTGTAATTTCCCCAACAGACATTGCTGCAGTCAGCCAATAGAATATCAAATGAAATTTGTCAGGGGTCCAATGGCGATGACTTGACTCGAGACCCCCTGATGTGAGGATGATAGAGTGTGGCAGGCAAAGGAGAATAACTCCAACATTTCACTTTTAATGTATTTATTAGTGAGACATATTTTAATAAATACATGTACAGTACTTGAACATAACAGGTAGAGATTACTACAGATAAAGTTGCTATATAGCATAAACCAACTCATTCAAAAAAATTTCAGAATGAATAAAAGAGACAATCCAAAACATTAAGATCTGATATTATATGAGGGTTGATCAAAAAGTTCACGAACTATCTCTATATTTACAAAACCACAATTCAGATATGAATGAAATTTGACACACATATAGTCATGTCATACACATGTTCTATAAATAGCAAATGTTATATAATGTTTTGCTCTGTATTTGTGACATCACAATGTGAAAATGATGTCAATATGTAGGTGACTTGTGACCAAAAATTGTTGACTCAGTCTTACTCGTGCAATGAACGGCTGTAAAGTTTAATGTATATCATGGAAATTCCTTTGCAGTAGAATATGATAATTTGTACAAGGTTTATGAAGACAAAAGACTTACCAGAAGTTCAATCATTAATTGGATTGATTGTTTTAGTGAAAGCAGGGAGATGGTTAAAAATGATGTTTGTTCCGTTGCCCAGCGAAAGCAAGCTGAGGAAATTAAAAGATGTGTCCTTAGTTGAGCAATATGTTAGGAAAGATCGCCAAGTTACAATTAGAAAAATAGTTGGATATCTTAACAATGATATAATTATTAAATCCCTAAAATATCATTTACTTTAGACTTTAAACATGTGAGATATGAAAAAAAGAAGGCGCCCATACTTTATCCACATTGGATAAATGACGCTCCCGAGACAGAGGACTCAGGTTGGGAAGGGATATCCTTATCCACCCATCCTATTGCCGAGATTTGACCCTTTCTGACAGATGGACTGTTCTTGTTATAAAAAATAACTTGCATGGTAAGAAATATAAGACTCAGAAAAATCTTGTAGTTTATGTGACCACATGATTGGCGCATTGGAACAATGGCAGATGTGCATTAAAATCGGAGAGGACTACTTTAAAAAATAATGAACACTGAAATCTCATTTTATTTCTTTTACGGAAGTAATTCAATTAGTTCGTGAACATTTTGATCACCCCTTGTATATGGAAATTCAAATTTATCCTTTTGCCATATGTTAATTTTCTATTGTTAGGCAAAAAAAAAAAAATTCTCGAACCAACAATTTCAAACTTCAATGTGGCAGTGTTTGACCTCTTCCTTTGGAAGTGAATTGAAAAAAAAACCCAATGCAATAAAAGACTAAGCAAATAAAAAGAAAAGAGAAATACAAAAGAACAATCTCGCAAAAATAAGATGTCACAAAAATTTAGTGATCTACAGTAATTCCTAGCTCGTCAATCAGACATAACACTGCAATACACTTTCACAACTTTTTCTATTGATACAATCACAACCAGTTTTTCATGAATTTCTGTAAACAACCTCAAAAATATACAATTTTAGAAGTACATCTTATATACCATTTCCAAATTAAATCTTTCACCATATACAATTACTTATATACACGTATAAGTCTTTGCAGATTTACATCTGTCAAAATGCTTTGTTACAGTTAGACAATTTTGTACACTTATAAATAGATTTTACTGTACTATTCAAAAGTACATTAAAACTCAAAATTTTCTTTTTAAAAAAACACATACACACAAAATACTCAGAATAAGATGAAATTTTTTTTCTTTGAAGTGAGGAAAAAAAAAATTCTCAAACCAAGATCATAAATCATGACAAATATTCTTGCTTTTTGTTGCTGCAAATACTAAAAGGCTACATATAATTCCCATTTCTTGTTAAGTTATTTTTTAGGAGTCCGCTAGGCCTGATCAGTTTTAACTGGAGACCCTTCTTTTTTCTTGGCATGTGCCAGCGCTTCCCCCAGCATTGCTGCAGCGTCCTCAGCATTATACTTTTCTACTGTCCTGTGGAGTACGTACACACACGCGGCTAACCCTCCCATGTTGAATCCCACCATATTTCTACACTTCCAGTATTTGGCCGTTATTGATAATGCCTGAGTGTAAAAAAAAAGTCTTACAGTAAAACAAGTGTAATAACAGTTAAAGGAAAGAAAAATACAGTCAAACCAGATTATCTTAAATTCAATGGAACTAAGATGAAACTTTGAGATATCCCTTGATTGGAGATAACCACATTAATAAGGGTAAAAAAAAACCATAATGTGTTTGGGACTGCCAACTTACTTTGACATATCACTGGCATTCGAGATATCAGGGTTCGAGATAACGAAGTTTGACTGCATCATCCTTTTAAATTTCTTACAGCTCAATCTAAAGATATTTGTGGAAAAATACTTTGAATTTTACAATTAGTCAGAAATCTGACAAGAATCCCTCCTTAAACATAACCTTAAATTAATAGAATATGAAATCTTACTTTATTTATACACTTCTTGTCCTGTGTCAGTAAGCATGCCCGGCCTCTCTCTACTCGACAGGCTCGCGCCATCTCCATTAGGGTGTTAGGATACAGTTTCCAATTGTTCATTTTGGATCCACTCCTTTAAGATTATTTACAAAATATTTGAAACTGGAAACATCTCAGAATGTAAACTAAATGACACAGAATATATTAATTAAAATACTCTGTGTTAAGATTTAATCATGAACAGTTTAAAGAGGGCACTTCCATTGTATTTGATCTTAAAACTTGATCCTGATATCTTTATGTGACCTAAATTATGGCTTCTCTTCAAACCAGGATCCATCTTGATGCAATATCATGATCAAGAAAAACTAGAACTGTCCAAAAGGGACAAATACCCCCCGCTGGGTTTTTCAGAGAAGGTACCAAATCACTAATGTTTTCTAGATGTGAGAGGTGTTCACAATTTACTTAAACATTTACAGTGAAAATTTAATTACTCATTATATTTTTTTTTAATGAAACTAAGGTGCAGCCTAATAAAACATCAATACTAATAATTACAGTGTTTTTTATTACATTGAAAAAATAGTTTGCAACTATCTGTCATCTTTGTGAGACATGACACTCTGCAAATTGATTGTTGAAAAAAAAATATCATAATTAATTATACAAAATCAAATTGATCTTAATACCTTTATATCAAACTCATTTTAAAAATAAAAGGCTGGTTCCAGTAACTATGTATTTTGACAGACATAAATTACAATTAAGAGACTTGGAGGACAAAGATCTTTATTTCTTTCTGCCCAATTCCCAGGAGATATAGATAAGACCTGCTTGATCAGAGATGCCCTAACAGCTTCCCACACTGAACTCATTAATTAATCGTTAACTAGATGCATGTCCACTCATTACTCCCAAGGGACAAATGGATTTACACTATCTGCTGTGTAATGTAAAAACTGTTCTTAATACTTTGTGATTTTTTTTTAGTTCTAATGAGTAGTTTTAAGCTGTAGTTCACATTTTTTTTACAGATGTTCTAGATTCTATGTCTCAAACCTTAGACATGAACCTGAAATGACTAAGTCAATAAAAATGAAAAAAAAAAAAAAACCACCTGTAAAATGTAGAAAAAGGATGAATCGCTTAAACATCCAAATCTGCCCCCCCCCCCCCCCCCCCCGATAATTTACAAAAAATTAAGTTAAAGATTTTCTACATATTTTTGCCTCAATCTTTCCATCAAACATTGTAGTTTATTAATTTCAATTTCAATTTTTACTTCCTTGCACTGTAATTAGGTATTCATGTGATTAATGTAGCAGGGGTACGTTGTTAACATCGATTTCTCATAGACTTAAGGCCACACCCCCATTTTGCAAGCCCATTTTTTATATGAGCGCATGGATGTTTCAAGTTGTCGTAAATACGGTCAATGTAAAGAGTTATATTAGTCATTTACATTCATGAAAGAAATTGAAACAGTCTTGTGCTCGTTTGTTATTTTCCAAAAAAGGTGCAAAATCATGGGTGCTTGTCTCCATAGTAAAGGCACCTTGTTTACAAATTTCAATCCGTCTTTGACCTCATGAGTAACAAAGCACTGAACACGTGACTCAAATCTATTCACTTCCACGCTTTGAGCACACCGACATTGTGTCTAGTGTCTGCAAGCCATCGATGGTCAAATCATTTTTCAAACGGGTAATTAAAATTCTGGGAGAAAATTTTTTTATGATTAAGATGTGTTAAGATTTTCGGTCGATTTTGTTTGATTAAATTACTGTGGGTATATATTATACATTTGCCCTTGTTCCTAAGTATGCATCAGTGCTCCGTTCATTGACTTGGAAGATATGAAAGATTTTTTTTCAGTTAAAACTGTCATTAATTTTATACTCCGTTATTTGAAAAACACAAATTCATCATATCTTTAGAAAAATAAACTGTTTGATAGAAGTGCACAAATGCATACTTCCAATAGAGGAAACCTTCATGGAAAGAAATTGAAGTACGGAGCGCTCAAAAAACCTGTGTATCGGATGAAAAGTCACTGGATGAATACATTTGCACAGAAAGCATCCCTAATTTGAATAGAAGGAAGCTTCGGTAAAATTTCTTCTGAAGCAAATGCTGTTAATAACTTTTTACATCGGCACAAAATTTCACTATTTTTTTTTTTTTTTTTTTTTTTGCAGATCATGTAAAAAAAAGTCCATGTTCGTCGGTATTTTGAAAGCATAATGTTTAAAAGCAAGAACATGCTTTTGTATGACCCTTTCACATGTCCGATCAACGTAGATATTAATAAAAAAAAAAAATCAGTCGAATGAAAAAGGGCTTTAAAAATACCTCGGAGTGATTTATTATTTATCTTACTACAGGGAGAGAGTTTGTTAAAATCAAAAGGTACAGGAGTGCATGGATTTGGACAATTAATGAATTCCTAAATGAGGAAGATCATATTAACCTGTCTGGCATGAATAAGCAGGATTTTTTGAAACAATGCAATTTGGACTGTACAAAGTACACTGACACTGTTTCTTTATCCACCAGCGTTGATACTGACGATAAACTGACGTTTAATTGATGTTTAAATTTTCACTTTCTTAACTATCTATTTTTTATACACCGAGTGTAGTTTTATATCATAATTCAACTGCCCACGTGTTTTTGTTGTAGTACTCGGATTTTGCAAAATTATATATATGTGTATGAAAAAAAAATTCTAATTATGTAATAAGCTTAAATGGATTAATTATCTCTTTTTCAAAAAAAAAAGAAAAGGTTTCTTTAAAGTATGAAAAATAGTGTATCCTTCGTTATACGTTCTGTTTCCAAATTCCATTGTTTAGTTAATGTATAAATAATTTAATGAATTTCTAGTAAATCATTTCAAATACGACTCGTAAGTTAAGCAGAAAAGAAATCAAAGTTAAGCCAGCCAAATTAAAAATGTATGTTTATATTTTGTCGGTCTTTAGCATGAAAAAAGGCTTTTTAGGTGTCAGTTAATCATAAAACTTAGTACACCTCGAACACGCGCTAATGTATTCATACTAATCGCACGCTTGATAGACGCTCCGCCTTCTCATTCAAATAATACAATGACCTACATAGCTGTAAAGGCGAAACCGGGATTTTACAGTGAAGTGTACGATTTTATTTAATCGATATAATGTATATATTGAAAGTCTCTTTCCCCAAGAAATCTTTTATGAGTATCTATACAAACTATGCTTGAAGACTCGAGGTATAATATAACAATGTTCTGATTTGAAAAGGTAAAATTTTGCATTTAAAAAGGGGCGAGAAAGCAGTGTTATGAGGATTCATTCTTATCAAATAATGTTGAAAATACCAGGTGCACATCTTCATATGGTAAATAATAAGTGTACAAATTTTCATACAAATCTATGCAATTATTTTGTGTATACCCATTTTTAACATTCACAAGAGGCCCAAGGGCCTTAACTGTCACCTGAGTATAATGTAACGATCCATAGATTGAAAAACAAAATAAGCCGATAAACAGCTAAGTTGCCCAAAAGCATGAGAAATAGGATGGTCAGCGATTTTGTTAATCGTGAATTTCAGAGATAACTGTGAAGGAAGATGATTGCTACAAAACATACATCTTTTCTTGATCAACTGTACTTATATTCTGCGAGTGAATAAATAATCTAATTTTCTATTAGGAGTTAACAAACTTGTTAGACGTAGAGCGTATTTACCACGAAAGAAAACGATAACGAATCTGATTTTTAATAGCTGCAGATCTGTAGCTCGCTGGTCTGGAAAAAATTGGGATGGACGAACAGAGAAGCTCTCTGATCGTCCATCCCAATTTTTTCAGACAGCGAGCTACAGATCTGCGGCTAGATTTTTAGATTAACTGTATAATCCAGAAACACTAGCAAGGAATTCTGAATGCAAAAACATTGGCAGCCAGGTACGAGGCGGAAACCATGTATTCAATTCATTGTTTTATTTTTAAATTAATGTTAATTAAACATGTACATTATGAGAAAGATTCACTTGCACGTTCGAACAAGAACGTCGACAGTTTCACTTGCCCAAAATGAAAATTTACTTGCCCCAGGAAAATCAGACAATCATTAATGTCGATCCCTGCCCCTGGGGGACATGATTTGAACAAAATAGAATCTACACTACCTGAGGATGCTTCCACATAAAATCAGGGCTTTGCTGTTCCTGAGAAGAAGATTTTTAAAATTTTTCATATATATTTCTATGTAAAACTTTGATCCTCCATAGTTGCCCCACCCTACCTCCGGGGGTCATGATTTGATTAAATTTGAATCTATCCTACCTGAGGATGCTTCCATATAAATATGACCAGTCTGGGCTTTGCTGTTCCTGAGAAGATGATTTTACAAGATTTTTCCAATATACATGTATTTCTATGTAAAACTTTGATCCTCCATTGTGGCCCTGTCCTACCCTGGGGGTCTTGATTTGAACAAATTTGAATCTACATTACCTGAGGATGCTTCCATATAAATATGACTTACATGTATCATGGCTTTGCTGTTGAGAAGAAGATTTTTAAAGATTTTTCCTATATATTTCTATGTAAAACTTTGATCCTCCATCGTGGCCCCGATCTACACTACCTGAGGATGCTTCCATATGAGTTTCATCTTTCCTGGCCCTGTGGTTCTTGAGAAGAAGATTTTTAAAAGATGCTATTCATTTTTCACTAATTCTTTATCATCTCCCCTTGAAAGAGGGCGTGGCCCTTCATTTGAACAAACTTGAATCCCCTTCACCCAAGGATACTTTGTGGCAAGTTTGGTTAAAATTGGCCCAGTGGTTCTTGAGAAGAAGTCAAAAATGTTAAAAGTTTACAGACAGACAGATGGACAGACAGCTAGACAGACAGACAGACACTGGACAAAAAGTGATCAGAAAAGCTCACTTGAGCCTTCGGCTCAGGTGAGCTAAAAACTGAGGTCCTTTGTCACAGTAGCTGGTGGCACGGAAAAAGAGCTCTCACTGCTCAAAGGCTGTAAGTACCAAGTACTCGTCTAAATGATTTGCAACCTTCCACTGGCAAGTGGTTGAAACCTTTAGAAGGTTATTGTTTGATATTCACCAAAAAATATGAATATTGGCCTTGGCTTTGCTTCAGTCAATATCAATATTTTTGGTGAATATAAAATCAAATTAACCACCTAAAGAATCCATAATTGTATAATACACACAATCCAGATAAGACAAGTTTTATTGTACTAGTTAGGTGAAATACTATAATAATGTATTTTATAAATCTGTTATAAGCTGGTATGATGAATAAATGAGAAATAAATTTATAGTTACCTTATTCCAAATGGCTACAATAAAGAATAAAAAAATGTAAAAGGATTAAATAATGGGATACATCTTCAACTAGCATATAAATCTTTTCAGCTTTATTCTTCCCTCTATTGATTTTAAGACAACTGCTATTTGACAGATACATGTATGCAATTACCAATACACATGTACATGCATGTATGATTTGGATTCTTCTTTTTTTTTTTATTTTGTCTGTTAAATTTATTTAATGCAAAAAGAAAACACAAACTAATTGATTCCTTTAATAGCATTTAAAATACTCAGTTCTCAAAGCTTTTTTTCATATTTATTTAATATACATCGCAGCTATTTACACATAGATAATGATATAATTATCTCCCCTTACCAGATCAGTGATAAACACATCCATGCTCTCCGTTTTCAGAGGTAATTTGGTCACGTCCCATCTCACAACATCCAATGAAATAGGCCTGAAAATAGCATTAAAACTAAATTCTCCATTGTCTACATCAGACATGACGTATCCAATATCAATCGGCAGACATCTTTATGGTGCTATAGATGTATGTAGGAGTAAAGAAATCTGATGATATAATGGAACACTTTAATGCCTTCAGTTTTGGCTAATTCTATTACCCTCTCTTCAAGGTCCCACTTAACCAATTTCGATTCCCATATATCATGTTAGCTGGAGATGGAAAGGTTCATTTATCCCTAAGATGAAAATCTGAACAAATAACATTGACATTTACAATATATGAATATCTACCAGATAGACTACTTTGACTTGTCAATTTTTTCTATTTTGGGGAGTGGGGTGGTGGATGGGGGTGGGGGGTGAAGGCTGGCACTGACGATTGATTTTATATCGGTTATAATAATTGATATCTTACTGAGACTGACGCACAAAGTCAATATTCTGCATGGTTCTCTTCACAGCATTATTTATCATATCACCACATAAACTGACACAGGTCTCATACGATACTGCTGACTGAAAACAAAAATAAAATAACTTTGTGATGAAGATGAATTAAAAGGAGACTGTGGCACTGTGCACACATTACATGCATTAAATTAATGTTATTGTAAAATGATGGTGACTGTCAGTCATTGTGTGCAGATGGACGATTCTTCCTCCCCACATAATGCACCTGTGTAGGTGTCCTACAAAAAACTCACCTGTATTGGAATAGTTCCTCCCCCACACATTGGGTCACAGATCACCTCTCCCGGCTCAATCTTACAAAGTCTACAAAGGAAAACTCATCAAATTTAGACTACTGATACACTCATGCACATCAAAAGTAAAAGACTGTGGTGATATAAATTATATGAACTTCGGTATATCATACACTGATATCTTGAATACCATGGATATGTCAAAGTCACCTGGAAGTCCCAGCTACTTTTCTTCTCATTCCAATAGAGTTCAAGATAACAAGGTTTAATTGACTATATTTACAATTCTTCACAAGATTAATAAACAATAATTCTTCATCTATAATCATTACCTTTATTAACCAGGTTAATAAAATATTTTCTATTCCTGATTTCTAGAAATCAATCAAAATCATTAACAGCATACTGCTGTTTTTTTACCTGAGCATATTGTATGCAATAGTAGCCCTCAGAGCTGTTGGTCCAAAAGCTTTGATAAATCTATGATGGAGAGATTGTCGTGTTAAACCAAGACATACTGTAACATCACGATCCTCAATGTTTAAAATCACCTCAATGTCAAAATTCTTCATGGACACATTCCAGTTGAAATAGTTGAACACGCCCCCTCCAAAATTAGCAGCTGCCCCCATGGAGTCAAAAGGGTGGCCGTGACCATTGCGATTGCATGTCACTCTGAATGAAGGTTTTGTAGGGTCATGACCTGTTAATTTTTGTTTCTCTGTGGGTGCTGACTGGTCAGTCTCTAAATTTTCTGATTGGATATTTTCTGTTGTTTTTATCTTTTTGATGACTGGTGATTGGTCAGTTTCTACATTTTCTGCCTCGTTATTTTCTGTCTCAGTCACATGTGCTGGAATATTGTCTGACAGATTTTGAGAAATTTCACTGCTCTCTTTCGTACCCTTGGAAATATCACTGCTCCCATCCACTGAAGCTGTGTTTTCCAGATCTTGTGTGTTTTCCACATTCTCTCCCTTTGCAAATTGTTGAACATCTTTTCCTTTTTCTCTTGCTTGCAATTTCCGCAGCTTCCTTTTCTCAGATTTTGATAACTTAGGTTTTTTGGGTTCTAGAGATGGGTCCTTTGGATTATGAAATCTCGAGGAAAGAGTTGCCTCCCCTAGATCTTTTGGTATAACATCTGGAGTGCTGGCAATAGGGTGAGCAAATGAAAATATTCTACTCCAAGCAGAGAGTCCAAGTTTCCAGTTTACATCATAAACAAGTTTCCGAAGAATGGCCATACACTCTAGCTGAAAATTAAATGTTGAAACTAAGGGAAAGCAATTAAAACATGTTTTACAGAAGTAGGGCATATAACAGGCAAAAATAATAATATTTCCACATACTAGGTGATGATTATTCCATTGCAAGATGCCAGTAAATAATTGATATATTGTGTGATACTAGCTGATAATAACTTTTTGAATTACTGGAGCATATGGTCTCTAATCTACCTGCATATGAATATATATCAAGAGAAGTATTTTTCTCTTAAAAATTACAAATAAAGGAATACCTCATCATTTGTGAAATTGACATTGGAAAATCTTGACATGACAACAAAACAGTTATCAATTCCTCCAAGCTCCAAGACCTGAAAGAGAAAATATTTTGCAAAAACTAAGTACAAATATGTATACTTATGTAGCACAGGCACTTGTTTCGGTAATAAATTTTTAACCCACAGTATAATAATAACACAAGGTATCTAACTCCGAATTACACGCAGTACCCCCCTCCCCCAGAATCGCACTCATTTACACTTTCAGAGGAAATACACTGACAAACTGTTTATACCTATATTTTCTATGATAATTTATCTACACAACCATATATGGCATGCTTGTCTTTATTTTCTTTAGTCTCCGTAAACAGCGTCAAAACTCTGCTCGTCGAGTGGAAAAGTCGAATTCAACCATGAAATGGTATGTGCTAATCCCGCACATAGATTTTGATTGGCTAAAAATCTGTTTCTAAAATTACATCGGATAAACATCGTAATGTTTTCAGGGAAAATCAGACGTAAACAAGTTCTATTTACTCATGCAATATTTAAACACTGGAATTGAATTTATAAACCCACTCATTTTTTAATTTTGTTCTCTGTGCGGGATTAAAATAAAGACAACCATGCCATATATGCTTGTGTAGATAAATTATCGTAGAAAACATAGGTATAAACAGTTTGTCAGTGTATTTCCTCTGAAAGTGTAAATGAGTGTGATTCTGGGGGAGGGGGGTACTGCCTGTAATTCGGGGTTATATACCTTGTGTTATTATTATACTATGGGTTAAAAATTTATTACCGAAACAAGTGCCTGTGTTATGTAGTTATAAAACGTATGCTGTCATGTAAATTTTTTTCTACATATTTTAATACCATTGATATCTGAACACATAGGATATCCAGCAGAATCATTAATTTTTTAGGACTAATAAAAGCTCCGAATTTCAAAGACAATAATAAGATTGTTTAACAGGAAAGGAGAAAAATGTGACAGACCAGACAGGGATTCAAAACCCGGGCCCCCTGAATCTCCAGTCAGGTGCTTTACCAACTGAGCTATCTGGCCACACGCGATCAAACCTGTCTGACCACCACATTCCTCCCTCCATAAAGGTTTTCATCCCCGAAGACCCAAACCCAGGCTCTTCCCTGGCAGGTCTTTCCAGGGAACGGCACAGAACCAAATTTAACAGGAGAGGAGAAAGATGAGATGGACCAGACTGCGATTTGAACTTGGGCCCCCTGAATCTCCAGTCAGGTGCTCTACAAACTGAACTATCTGGTCACCAGCCATCGAACCCCTCTGACTACCACGATTGTATGAATATCTTGTGAATGACAGTAACAACTACAGTGTACATTCACTATACCAAAGGTAAAATCCAAAAAATTTTAACTTTAAGACAAATTATGTATGCTTTCAGATTAGGCTGCATGTTCAAAATGATTAGCCTGCAGTGTACTAAAAAAACTGACTATAAGTCGTGATGAAAAATAAAAATACAGTATTCATGCCAACACCAGTTTCATGTTAGATGATTTCACAATGAACATACATTTTTTATAGTTACTAAACGTATTTGAAATAATTTCTGATATATATACAAGTAAAAAGAGTCAAGTGTCTTTCACCATATAGATTATGATAAAAGAGTTTTATTATTGACCTTATTAACATCTTCTGTAGGAATTTTGAAAATGATTCGGCCACGTTTGAAATCCACTTGAACTTTTAGCTTTTCCTCTGCCTCTTCCTTGGCAACATTTTCAAAACCTGACACAACTGTCGCCTCAATTTCACAAATATCCCCCTTATTCTCCTGTGGCATGTTGTCCATGGGCGCAGACATCTTGAACACACGTACGGTCACATGACAGTGTTTTGATTCCTTTGTACTTCCGGGGGAATCCCGCTAGCGAAAGCGACACGGTCATGACGGTGCTCTGTAGACACTGGTCGATAAATGTCTTTCAGGTATATAAACAACACCGATCGAGGGAAAACTTTTAACTAGTAGTTATCCTTACTACCGAATATGGTGTTAAAATACAAGAACTTTTAGGAATGATGTCACGATAGATTTTGGGACTTGTGCGAGACATGAGAGTGAACTGTCGAAGGGTCGCTTTCTTTATACTGGTGGCTTACTTCGTTATCTCGTGTTATTCTGGTTTTCTTCTGATACAAAGACGCAGGGCTCAAGCCGCTTACGAATATCAACGCATCCAAGCTTTAACAGGTAAGTTTGTAGGCATAAATCAGTTTAAAATTTAAAAAAACTAAAGTGGGGGGGGGGGCACCTGCACCTACAGGTAGAAATCATATATCCGATTTTGTTGAACAGTACCATAGAAAAATATTGTTGACTTTAATCTGTATGAATTTTTTAATTGAGGATATAAGAGGAAAACTCTGATTAACATAGGAAGGAAATTTCGAGGAAATATTGTTCATCCTTTAATTTGTATGAAGATTAATTGCTACGTTATAGTGGTCAGTGCATTGTTGTGTGGTTTTATGGACTTGGCTGTTTGCCTTAGGTAGGAATAAATGAGATATAGAGGCCCGATAAACCCTGACTCAACGTTCATTACATCATACAGGACCTTTGTCCACTGCAGAATATTTAAATTGATTGTTTGAACATAATGTAAAGTTACGAGAGCATTTAAAAAGTTTTTGAAAGTGCTCTTAATGTATTTGAACAAGCAAGTATAAAGAAATGCATGATCTTTTCAGTTTGTTAAATGTTTCCAGTCAGACACTTTTAGTTCGTTAAATCTTTCTAATTAGCATGATTAGACACTTCTTTACTTTTAATGTATCGCAGTGCAGTAAATAACAGGAACAAGAAAGTTACTTCAAAGAAAAAGAATAAAAAAGAGTAAGAGCTTCATAACTTAAGCCAGATTATGTTTTTAGTGTGGCATACATTAGATAATGTAATTTGCTCAATTAATTAATTTTTTATTAGCACCTTTTGGAAGTTGTTATTTTATAAAAGTAAATCTCTGGAATGTTAAATAATTGCCAGCATCTTTATCATGGACAGAGAATATTTGCACCTACACAAAATGCTCTAAGGAACAATTAATATAACCAACAAGTTCTATAGAACATCTGCAGAGATGTACCTTTTTAGATATGATGTCGCTTGTTAGTGCGAAATTCACATCAGGTCCGTGGGCTTTATATTACAATTTTTCCATTATTGTGCATTTGGCAGATAAAATAAGCAGCGTGCAGCTAAATTATAGGGGTCTGAAATTACACCCTATAACTGAAAAGAGTATTTAGACATGTATACATTTTACAGATTACATAACCTGCACTCTTTGTGGTAATTGTCATTAGATGAGTCACCCAAGAGTGCACAGGCATCATGCATGCATGGTCACAAACTTGTTATTAAATTAATTTTTCATACAGAAATTTGCATGCCTTATTGGTATTAATCGTGTTAATTTAAATTCAACCTGTTGGTGTTAGACAAGTATACAATACATGTTAAGTTGAAGGAACACAACACAGCTCTTGTGAATATCCTTAAGAAAAAAAGAATAATCTTGGTTAATGTGACTACCTGTGTCACCTGTTTTTTTAATAAATCAGGGATCATTTGGGTCAGGGTCACTCAGCCCGCAGCCCTTCTTTTTCCCTCTATTTTACGAAGGGGTCGGTCTCTGTCACTGTGACATGAATGGCCTGGATACTTATCTCTTTACAAACTTAATTCATACTAGAAATATTCAACAAAGAGAGAGAGAGAGAGAGATGCAACACCCAGGGTTGTCCTGAAGACCTGGGGGCCGGAGAATTTCCCTGCCTATAATGGCATAATCCCCCGGTTATTCTTGTATTCCCCTCAACCCCCTGTTAGGGGAGGAACCACATACCCCTTATACTTTTTTAATACCCCCTGCTATTTCTGAATCAATTCTTAGTGACATCCCTGAACACCTGATAGTGTTCAAGTCTTGTCAAAGGTGAAGCTCACCTCATTGACAAGTGTAATTTTTTTTAACAAAAACCAGGTGCTGCAATATAAAACAACAAAACCAAAATTTTACACTGCACAGACCATTTGAGGTATTTCTCATAAACTTATTTGTCACGTTTTGCAATACTTCAAATTACAATCCACTGATCCAGTAACTTCCTAAGGTGCTCTAAGAATTGGAAGATGCACATAAGATTTGAGTTTGCATCTATAAGCTGCTTAGTACGTATTTCAGTTTTGTGAAATATATATATATATATAAAAGAAATGACTGTACAATTTGACTTCATGCAAAATACAAATTTTCTTTTCCAGACTTTTCAGATGACAATGGGAATGCCATAGGAAGACAAGCGGCACAACTCCAGTACAGACATCAGTTTCAGAAAATCCTATGGAACCTTGAGGATGATCAGAATGTGGTTGCCATGGGAAACAAGAGCAAGCCAGAGTACATTGTGGAGATTTGGGGAAAAGCTGCCATAAGTAAGTCTACACTCTTAGAGGATTCCATACAATGTCTAATGCATGTATAATTGTCCATCTAATGCAGGAATAATTGTACAATGATCTCTGTTAAATCAGCATACTGCAATATGAGGAATATATTTTATTGCTTTAGTGGGAAAGAACTGTCCACTGAGAGCATTAGACTTGTCACAATTTTTTTTTGGTATTGGACCATGCATGTAATGTGTTAACAAGCACTTGATCATTTATCGATATCATATCATAATTCTTTTGAAGATCTTGTTATCTGCTCTTATCTGCCGACATGCATGTGTCAATGCATGATACAAAAATACAGTGGATAAAAGATCCGTACTAAATACCGGTAGTCTTTTTACCGAAAATGTAATATTATGCTCTGTAGATATTGTGTTCACAACTAATATCATCCGTCAACTGGTATGTTTGCTGCAAAATATTGTACTTGTTGAATGCATGGAATGAAATTAAAATACGCAACATGAAACAAGACTAAATATTTGATCAGAGAACTGGCAATTCTATATCAAAATGATCAGAAAAAACTGAATGGCAGAATACCATAAAGGGGAGACATTTTGTCTGTTAGCTATAAGCTCTGCATTTTGTCTGTTAGCTCTAACCTTAAGGTGTAAGCTCTGACTTCACTATTTTGGTTTTAGAGACATTTTGTTTTAAACAGTGCTCTTTGGGAAAAGATTAATTTTGATTTTAATGAAAGAAATATGAAACAACACTTGAAATCAGTCATAACCATGCACTGAATTCATGAAATAACAGGTTTGTCTTAAAGAAAAGAAAAAAATATGTTTCAGAGTTCCTCCTTGCTCAAATGTTTGTTGGTAGAGTTGACGTTACATACAGTGTAGAATTCTAATTTAAATTGATTGACTTATGGCAAGTCAAAATAGGTCTGGGTGATCAAACTATTTCTTTTGCCCAAAACTCATTAGATTTGAATGTGAATTTCAAAAATATTCAAAAATCATAGTCTCCATTGTACTCTGTCGTACTATTGCAAACTTACAGATGAAGGATTTTTTAAACATTATGCTACCAATAGCAACTTAGATTCTTTGATAAATTCATATCACTGTTTTGAGCTGAATGGTCAGGATATGCATGGATAGGAACTGCATTGTGTAAAAGCTGATCACTTGCGGCGTTCAGGCAGATTTTGCCCCGGTTGCTAAGATAGCTCATTTAGTAGAGCACCTGACTAGTGATTCAGGAGGCCTGGGTTTGAATCCAGTGGTCCGTCACATTTCCCCCAGTGTTACATTTGGTGCTACTAGCTATGCCATGCGCTCATTGCCCTGAATGGAGGTGACAATTAAAGACCTGTCAGGGAAGAGCCTGAGTTGGTGTCTTGGAGGACAAAGACCTTTAAAGAGGGAGGAATGTGGTGGTGAGCAGGGTTGGTAGAGCACCTGACTAAGATTCAGGGAGGCCAAAGTTAAAATCCTGGTCAAGTCCGTCACATTTTCTCTTCTCCAGTTACGCTCTCAAGGAACTAGTGCCAAATTTTTATAGATAGCAGACATATATCTCTACCTCTCACATAAAGTTGTCTAAAGAGCATTGATGATTCAGACTAAGATGTTTTCAAAAACAAAGGATATTTTTATCTTCAACAAGAGTTAATTGTCATGGTTTATGTATACTTTATAAAGATTTCTTGGTAACAGCTTTTCCCAGCCTTATCATTATTTAGCACCTAATCTGTGATAAAAATGTCATCTTTTTACTGCGCTGTATAAAATATTGGATAGCTGAACCAGATATCATTTATCCACCATAGCAAACGATCTTCAGAATTCATTAACAACTTTCACAAGCAACTAACAGTATTCAAACCTAGAGAATTGATCCTATTTGGTCCACGTCTTATGGCCAAAGCAAGTGACGAACAAAGAAAAGAAAAAAAACATAAAAAACATAAAAACCCTAACACAAAATGTTTCTTCTGAGACAGACTTTAACACTCGGCGTCAAGGAATTGAGTATCGAAGAGCAAACGATTTTCTCTGGGGAACCCTTGAAGTATGATCCAGGATGGCCTCCAGTGAATTTAAAGTCGAAATTTCTGGCCTATTTTTCTATACTTTACCAGAGAAACGTGTTTGTTAAGTAACAGAGTGTTGATTGTCAACCAGAAGTGTCAAATAATGGCAGAGGTTGATGAGAGAGTTTATTTTTTGTAAGAATTGGTGATGAATGGCAGTGTCTGTATTCAGGAGACCTTTACTGGCAGTAATGATCACCTTGAGATTTTATATCTTTTAATTAGATATTAACAGTTGTTTAATTTGTATGCAATTCTAAAGGGTTTTATTTTGGAGTAGTAAGATTAAACAAACCTCTCTTGAGAATGTTAATTTCGAGCAGTTTCTTTTCACAGGTTGATTTATTCAAATACTGTACAAAAAATTTCAATACTTTGAATGTATCCTTTCTGTAAGAATTAAAGGTTGTAAAGTTAAACATCACAGAAATGCAATTATGTCCTGAATTAAGTGAGATTTTAGGAGGTGATCGAGTCAGTCAGTAAGTAGAGACGGCTTTCTATGGATCTCTAACACAAATCACCATGGAACAGTCTGTTCTTAATTCTCAAGACACTTTCTTAGCATTAAATATTATCTAAAATAAGTATGGAAATTTTAATGTGTGGTAATTGTACTTTCAACAGAATATATAGTGTAAATAGATATTACAGAGATTTTATTTAAACAGGTTAACTTTTTTCATTCATTTCTATCATTTAAAAATTATTTAATCTAAACAATATTTCCATGTCCATTTTAAAATTTTTAAAATAGGTATATACAAAATAATGCTTTGTAATGCTATGTAATACAGTCCCTGAAACGTTCTACTTTCCCGTTTTTCCGTTCGCTCACCGTTCGTTCAGCGTGCGTTCACCGTTCGTTCAATGTGCGTTCACCGTTCGCTCTCCGTTCACAGTTTTGCGTTCACCGTTCACCGTGCGCTCGCGTTCACCGTTCACAAAGCGTTCAGCGTACGCTCTTCGTTCCGTTCACTTTGCGTTCACCTTGCGTTCAGCGTTCACCTATCGTTCAGTTTTCATTGTCATTCGGAACTCCAAAGTGAAAGGACTTATCTTTTTGTAGGGAATGAGTTACAGGTTTTTTAATTTAATAACTAACATATCATGTTTGAAGTATTATTATTTCATGTTGAAAAATATCTACGATATATATTTTTATTATTCTAACTTAGCTGTTAGGTTATTTATTAAATTACTCTGGAAAATAAATGTTGTTATAAGCACATTCTGTACCTATGTAGAACGATGCTGAAATATTAAATATAACTAAGGGCAATGTGCAAATACTTCAAGCACTGCAACATTTTGTTATTTTGTTAAAGACGACAAATCGTTAATGGTGACATAATTACATATGTATCTAAGTCAAATAATTACGCAGCAAAATTACGAAAATATTTATTTCTAACACGTTTTTTTTTTCAATTACTACAGAAAATATGATAGAACTAGTTCTGAGAGTTATACATAGTACTGCGGATATACTGTTAATTTATTATCTTTGGAGCGAATTAAATTGATAGTGTGGTTAAAGGAAATATTTATTTGAAATGTACTGCACTACAGAATTTTCTCTAATATAATATGTAAAGTCTATAGTTATAGAGAAAAAAAAATCTTTCTTCACCGTAACTTTATATGTTTGCCATTCGATATGATTAATACCCCCCCCCCCCTTTTCCCCTAGATTGGTTATTTAGTCAGTACTGTATTTCCAGAATATTTTAATCAACATTTTTAAAAAAAAAATAAGTTAAGGTCTTTTTTAGAACAAAAATTTCAGTCTCAAAACAAACATGCATCTTAAAAAAGTCAAAAAATAATAGTAGTTCAAAATGTACACGTGTCGGCGGTGGTATTTGAAATTAGAGGAGAGTATGTTTCAAATTCAAGTGTTAATGCCCAATGTATTTTATTCATTTATTATTCAAATGTTGGGATCAAATCTAGAAATGATAAAAATAAATGTTATAACTTGTTGGAAATACTCGCATTTCGTCTTCGATGGGACGAAACTTTCACACCTGCACAGTGTCGAATGATTTTGATTTTACAGGACAAGTACGTGACTTCGTGTGAACTTGAAGCAGGAAAATAAAAACGAGTAATACTGTCAAACAAATGGATAAAAAAAAAGTTACTTTCACTGTCTGATATATTTAGAAAAAAATTTCAGAGTTTTTGTTTAATATTGGTACGAACAATTAGCGAAGCCTGAAAGGAGGGGGGGGGGCTAAACGGAATCTCTCTCTCTCTCTCTCTCTTTCTCTCTCTCTCTCATTTGTCTGTTTAATAAAAACTATAACAGCATACTACATAAATATCAAGTTCGGAAAATTGAATTTATAACAAATAATAAGAATATGTATCTTTGTATTAGCTTATCCGAGTATAACCACGGCCATCTACATATACATGTAGAAGTCTGCTCAATAAATCATCATAAAAAATAGAAATGACACATAATATATTATTGTATTAAAAATTTAAAATACGAGCGTATAAATGCAAAACCTCCACTGACTTTTGTAATTATTTTTTTTTTCATTACTTTACACGAAATCACCCTGACACAGAGATATATGAATGGATGTTTCAGCCGCTTTACTTCATTCTATAAGTCAGAAGTTTTCTCTGATTTGTTTATACTTCAGCGTTCGGCAACAATTGCAATGTTTTGATGCGATAAGAATCATGTGATTAAAAACTTAATGTGCATGCATCGTCTTTCTTAGGACAATTTTGGAGAATTTATTTATTGACTTATTTATTCATTCATTTATTGGTTTACTTATTTATTATTTATTTTTTTTTTTTTGGCACCTAACATTTTAAGGACATACGCAAGGTACCTTACCTACTGATAATTTTTCAAGATATTCTTAATTTAAGATTAGAGTGCCATCAGATGTTCATAGACAAAAAA